TTCCCTTGACAAGAGCGTTGCCCTTTAACTCGCTTCCACCATTGAAATGCAACACCCTTCAATTTCAGCTTAACAAACAGCACCTTCTGTTCCTTGGCCGTTGGCTTCCACTCAAAATAATTTCCCATGTTGGCTTCCCAATCCGAATAGTCTTTTGCATGCATCTTCCCCTGGAAATCAATAACTTCTATTTTGATTCCACCGTTGTTAAGGTCTAAAGCATGTACCAATTGTTCTTCCAACCCACCATGTTCAATCCCTCCACTGGTAGGGTTATGGAAGGGATTCTCTTCCTCAACCTTAGCTTCATCTCCAAGACTACCTTCTGGTATGTCTGAAGGTTCGTGGTCACCTTCCGGAATCTCCATATGGGCTTCTGTTCATCCTGTCGTTGCAAGGCTTGCACGGCCCGTGACAAGTCTTCAACTATACGTCTCATCTCCAACATTTCCCCTTGTTGAACCTAGTTTACTCTACCTCCACGTCCCCTACCACGAGCTGCCATGGTTAAGATCTGATTTCCTAAGCTCTGATACCAAATCTGATGCAGCAAAATGTAAAAACCAGAAGAAAACAGCAACAACAACAAGAAGTGTTAAAAAATCTTGAGGTGAACAGTATACATGAAGCTTGAACAAGGAAGACCCCACTTTCAGAGCTGAAATCTCCACTTCAGTGGATAGTATAAGTCTTTAGGATTTCAAAACAGTCAAAAAGATCCTTCTACAAACATGATATGAGGCTTTTATAGCTGCCTCCAAGCAAAATGACGCCCTAACACACACTTTGACAGAAATACCCCCACTTAAGTGACTCACATGACTCAAAGATAAAAGACTAGGACGTTAACAAGCAACTATAAAGTCCATATAAAGTTAACAACGGTGGAATGGGTGGTAAAGTCCATATAAAGACTAGTACCCTGCTTTTTCTTTTCTCAAGGACTCATGGTACCTTTTTGTTGCAGATATATAAGTCCACATTTTTATGTGAACAAGATGGATGGGTGGTAAAACTAGAAAGGACAGGGTTAGGAATGACATTATATGAAGGAAACTAGGTGTAGCTCCAATAAGTGATAAAAGACCATCTACAGAACCTGTTAGGAAAAGCACATGGATAGAAGTAATAGAGGTGATTTAAGCACCTATAATTTAATGATGGATATGGTATTGAACAGAATGGAATGACAAAACGGGATTCATGTAGGCGGCTCCATATAGTTGGGTCAGGGCTTAGATTATGATACACAAGTCAACATTTTTATTTTGTTTCATAGGCCTGTTTAGATTTTCTATTCTATCATGACATGTATGGGTATTATTCTGTACAATTCATTTGTTGATTAAAAACTGCCCATATATAGAAAAATGCTTCTCTAGGGTTTCCTTGACATCCCTTCCCATTGTGGATCATAAAGCTCCTTAATGTAATACTCCTAAATTTCTCCAACAATAGTTTTCTAAATGTTGGGCACTTGATAACCTGGTCACCTCGAAGCTCAAAATAATAATTTATTGTAACATTGTAGATGTGCATAACCTGTGATATTGTTGGTAGATACTGCATAACTTGTCAACCACAGACTTCTCAACCAAGTTGATAAAGAACATTGTCAGTGTGATACTGCATTTTTACTTTCCATGCACAATTTTTGTTTTGGCAACTGGTTTGGAATCCCGTCCTACCCATAGCTATAGCTTCGAAAACTTCTTTCAATCAGCATCTCCTTGTGGCTGTCTTCTCAATCCCCCTCTAATCTTGATCTTCACACAACCACTTCTTGAGAAAAGCTATGGTCATTTACCCTATCATCTTAAGTTCATATACTCAATTCCCCTCCTGTGTTTTGGTTTACAAGTCCATTTTATTTCACAATAATGAAGTTTCTACTTCTCTTTGCCCTTCCATGTCATTTCTACATAATATGCCACAAGTTGGTTGATGCAATCTTAATAAGTGTACATAGTCATTTCTGTGGTAGGTATCTCCTCTTCCACTGTGGAATTGCTCACTAATTTGTTCGACCACTAGATATTACACTCTGTAGATGAGATCTTGATACCAATACATCTAGATGATATCTGCTACCTCACTATGTTCCTTATCAAATTTTTCTTTGAATTGATTTTCAAGCTGGATTTTGTGCCAAAATAGAGTAAAATTTCCTTAGACACAAACACCTGATCACAAGTCAGGATGGAAAACAAAAAGTGTAAAATACAAGGTGAACCCTCGAATCATGTCTATAACTTGTCTTTATAACCAACTTGCCAAGGGTGTGCACCACTAATAAGAAAAAAAATAATGTTAGGGATCCTTGTGCTTTAAGCCCCTTAAACTAGGAAAAAAATTTGAACGAGTCATTGGCCATGACAGGAAAGGATGATGGAGAGATGCCAGCCATGATCTATTTCCTCAATTTGTACTGAAAACCTGTCTTCACATTGCTGTGAATCTATGTATAAAGTGCATGAGGTTATTCATGATACCTAGATTTTTGGGGGAAATTGCATGCTCAAGAGGAGATCCTAAGTAACCTCAACAAGGGTTTTCCAAAAACAAACTAACCTCAACAAGTATTTTTTTTTCTTTATACTATTCCATACTGTTGAGGGATGTATTTGCAAATTAGGGTTGTTCTTCTCTATCTTAGCATGGAGTAAATGTACTTCATGCTATGAATCTTACTATTTGTAAAGTTCACGAGGCTATAAGACTTGCCTCAGCCAAACTTTTAGGTATTTCTTTTTCTTTCTACTATTCCATACTGTTGAGGGATGTAATTGCAAATTAGGTTGTTGTTCTCAAACTTTAGCATGGAGTAAATGCACTTCATGCTATGAATCTTACTATTTATATAGTTCATAATGCTATAAGAACTGCCTCAGCCAAACCGCTTATATGCGTCAGAAGTATCAAATCATGCATGCATACCATCAAGGTGAAACCACTTCTTATGTGTCAAAAAAAGTGGCAGATCAAAATCTAGCAGACATGTAAAATGCCTCCTGTTCAAGCATGACAACTCAATGCATATGATTCTGATTCCCCCCTTGTGTTTATGAAACATGAAAAAAATCCTTGCACCTTTCATATTATGAAAAGAAAGTTTAATAGAATCAATAAAAGGTCCTCTGCTGATTGGGATTGATTTATTCCTGTCCAGGGTTAGCTTCCATACAGGTCTGACATCACCTAGGGAGCATGATGACACCATCCTCAATGGGCAATCTGTTGTCCCCTTTTTGTGTTAAAAAATCCTTCTCTTATACCAAGATTCAAGGCAACAGGTTTGCAAATGAAGAGAAAGAGGGCATTGGGAGAGTAAACAGTGAGAGTTGCATGCTCACCTCTCTTTATATTTATTCATTATGAAATGAACAGTATAATGATGAAAGTACCCCCACTTGGTAAACTCATATCTGATGACACTTAAAGCTTTCTGCCTTAGCTTTTGAAGGACTTAAACTACACTGGAATAGAAATTTTAGTGGAAGCATTCTAAAGAGATAAGAGAAATAAAATAAACAGCCTATTTTTACTTGTTAGGCTTCAAGTTCCCTTTGGTTATTGTTCTTATCATCTTCTCCTTCTATTGAATGTTAGAGAACCATATAACCTCAAAATCAGCAAAGAATTGTCCTAGAAAAACTGAATGCTGTGTGGAGGTCATAGAGACAGGTGCCTCAACTCTACAGAATTTTAATGCACAGGATTGAGTTGATTAAAGATAAGAGAATCTGGAGGTGGGAAATCTGGAATTTTTGCCTCTAAATCATTCTGCAATCCTAGGGTGGGGGCCGGTTTTTTCCTGTTAACCTGAGTTGGAGTTCACCCGCTCCCTCAAATGTATCTTCTCTGGTGTGGACAGCTGTTCTTTAGTTCCTGTTTGACTAAGGAAAACTTGATTAGGAGGGGAGTGGGGCTGAATGGAGATAGCTGTCTCGTGTGCAATGAAGCTGCAGAGAGTACAAGTCACCAGTTTATTCACTGCAAGATCTGTGATTCCCTATGGTTTTGGGTGAAAGACATTGGAGTGGTTGGGTGTAATCTGGGTTCCATGCAAGACTTTCTCAAGTTCTGGAAGCTGCAGGGTCTTGGTAAACAAGGAAAGAATGCCTGGAGGATTGCTCTCCTGGCAGTCTTTTGGACCATTTGGAATGAAAGGAACTTGAGGATCTTTGAAAATAAATTTAAGACAACAGATGGGTTAATAGTTAAGCTGAAGGCCAGAATTTTTTCTTGGGTGGGTGTTTGTAAGGGTTTTGATTAATACAGTGCAATACTTAACCTTTTTTCAGAAAAGAAAAAGATAGAGAAAAACTGAATGCTGTTTTACCTGTACATAGTTCAAAAGAATTGAAGTAGCATTTCCATACCAATAAAAATAAAATAAAATAGCATTTCCATGTAACTCTATTTGTCAGCCACTTCATATACCTTCCGTCCTCCTACTGGCTCTTAGAAATTAGAATCCTCAAATTGCATCAGATAGTTCTTTCTAATTAATTCTTTTGCAGTAGTTGTCTCTCTTTTAACATCAAGCATCAAATGTAGTTGGTTTCAGGGGATTGTACAACAAAAATACTATTATCTTTTTAAGGGCATGAGTTTAACTTTCGATGTATTTCTGGTTAGTTTGTATTACACTCTAGCCTGAAAATGGTGTCATCCTAGGACCCACAAAATCTGTTGACCTGTATCAGCTTGTGTCGAAAAATAACCAGCCTAATTTAAAGTAGCTGTGCTCAATGGCTTTTGTAGTTTGGGAATTCAAAACCATTCTAGATGATATTATAGTCAAGAGTGAAACACTATTAAGACAAATATAGAAATACAAAAGATTGCAATTACATTAAAATCCAAGGAATTTGTGCTTTCCTTCTAATTTTCTTTTTTACTTATTCAAACAATTGACTATACTTTTGGTTCCTTAGATTTTAGAATTCCCGCATCAGTTACTAAAATGTTGCTTTGTTCGTCCATTATGCAAACAGGTGGTTATACCGTTGCATCAGTTTAAAGCAGTTAATACTACAAGAGGCAATTTGAACCGCGCTGAAAAATATATCCAAATTATCTCTATTGACAACCATGAATTTTGGTTCATGGGCTTTGTAAATTATGCTAGTGCTGTAAAACATCTAGAGGAAGCTTTGCAAGCTCGCAACGTGCAGTCTGTGTGATAGTTGTGCATTCTTGGGACTATATTCCAATTTCGTTCTGTAGTATGTGGTTCATAATCATACAGCAGAAGATTTATCTCAGAACACGAAATATTTACACAAAAGACTACTATATTCATCTATGTATTGTTGAATGTTACTGTTGTTCCAGTGTTGAAGCTACGTTTATAATTCTGTGATATATCTTGGAGAATCTAGTATACTTGTTTTCGGATTAATTTTTTTGTAATTTCAAACTTTGTTCATTTTGAAAGTAAATAAGTAATTAAGCTGTTTTTTCTTCATTCAGTTTTTTTTTTTGCTTCATGGTGGCTTAGTAGACGCAGTGTGGCGTTAAATCGCCCTTGGTGTAGTTCATAAAAAAAAATCGCCCTTGGTGTAAATTAATTTTTTTCGCCACTAGTTGCGAATTATTTCATAAGTAGCCTTTTCTTTTTTCATTTGGTAAACATTCATAACTATCATTTTTAAGATTAAGGTATATACGGATAAGGTTTCGATATTTGTCCTTTAGGCTGTGTTTGGTTGCAATATAAATAAATTTGCACTGATGCAAAACCATGATAATGTAAATGATTTGAGTGTAAATTCTGACCTGTTTTGTTTCAAATTTTAGCTTATTTTGTTTGGTTGCAGACTTGCAGTACAAATGAAGTAAATGAAGACACGAAGTAGAATAAAGCAAAATCCAAAACAAAATTAAACAAGAATTTACATTTTTTACATTTGCACTCCCATGCATTCAAGGTTCAAAGTATGAATACAGGGCGGTATGCCTGTAGGGTTCTACCCAGTCCCAACCCATTGACACCCTATTAATTTCACACCTCCGAAATAAAAAGAAAAGGAAAATGGTGTTTGTCAATCGAGTTTGACTATAATGCTGGAAATTAAGACATATTACTGAAAAAATTTATAACCAATCAACCAATATCATAGATATGTAACCAATCAGATGAATTTTCATCAAAATTCATAGAGGTTTTGATTGGTCAATTCTCTTCGGTATCATGTCTTTCCTGTATCATAGATTTTTCCTTGTCAATAATATATATAATTTGGATAAATTTACAATGCCGGAAGAACTTTAACTAATCAGAACCCCAATGATTTTGATATGAATAGCACCTGATTTGTTACCACTTTTACCATATTGGTTATAAATTTTTCAATATGGTATCATATATGAATTTTCTTTTCCAAAAAGAAATAACTGTCACACAATATTGTACTTGATAATGTGGCATTTGTTTTTGTTTCGAGCTTGTATAACCAAACACCCAAATAATTTTGGGGAAACAATGGCCAATAGGTTCATAATCCATATGTTAACAACAACATGATCACTTAAACAAGTCCAACATATTTGTCAATCTTTCCTTTTTTTTTGTTTTATAGAAAAAGACATATTTGTCAATCTTTCATTGTTGAAAATAGACTTCTTTTCTTTCAAAATTTTCTCTTTTGAGTTTTATAATTTAAATTGGGATTCTTTTATTTACCTTGTTAAAAATTAAAGGGGGGAACGTGTTTGAAAAGAAAGATCGAGGCAACCCACAAACAAGTCATGAGCAGTTTGGTCATTCAATTCTACAGAATAACAGAAATCTGTCTTTGCAGTAAATAAACATGCAAACAATTAACTAAACATATAATAATAATGGGCTGGTTCACATTTTTTTCTTTTTTCTTTTTTCACTTTTTTCCTCCATGCGTCTGGTTACACCGCGGGGGTGACCCATCCGGCCATTCCCCCAGGCGGTGGGATTCAATCCCAAATTCTCCACTGCAACTAGACAGAGACCAACCCTTGGCACCTTGGGCCGGGTTCCCATTTTTTTCTGACTCAACCTGCTTTGTCTGGTTTTGTTACCATTTATTCACACTTTGTTTGGAACCCATTCAAATGAGCTAGTACTGTAGTAGTATTTGGTTGGGTTTATGGTCAAATTTTGTTCAATTCAACCATTAGTAAACTCCAAGGTGGTTAAATGTGTCACTGAGATGTATTGTTCTGAAACAATATTGGAATTATACGAAACTTCTCTCTTTAGTTTAGGCTGCGTTTAGCCTTTTTTTCGAAGAGCTTTTTTTAATAAGCACTTTTAAAAAATACTTAAAAACCGCTTCCTAAGGTGCTTTTTGGAGTGTTTTTTCTAATAAAAAAATAAAAAAACGCTTATTTGACAACATTACTTAGTTCAAAATGGGCTCGATTTAATATAAAAAATAAGAGTTAAGATTTGTAATTCCTTAGTTTAACATGCTAGCATGGTAAGTTGAAAGTTCATCGTACTATATTGAAAGTTGTATAAAATATAACATAACCTAATTTTTCTATATACAAAACAGTCATAGCAAGAAAACCCACCTTTTATTTTTTGGGTCTCTCACTCTCTCCTCCTTTTACTTTGATACATAAAGAGCATCACCAACCAGTGTGGGATCAACTGCGTGCGCTGCGCTGTTCAATATAATTGGAACACTCCATACACGAGACGAGAATGATTAGCCAATATATATATATATATATATATTTATCTCACTAGAGGAAAGAATTAATTCCTCCATCTAGTCTTTGGGAGAGTTGTAACGGAATTTTTATAAGAAGCCATGATTTCATGATTTCATCTAACTGCTTACCCTTTGGCTACATGTCCCATGGTTGAAATCCCGAGGTGGTGGTGGGCTATGGGCCGGCCTATATATGGCCTGCTAGCTGCTCCCCTATAGTCTAGTCAGTAGTCACTGATCCAATCATCTCTTCTTCTGAAAAAAAGGAAAAAATGATTGTTTAGAGACTTTAATAGGTCCCAAAAAAATTGCCTAGGATCTATCAATATGGTTTTAATTTGTTCCCCCAAACAATTGGAGTTTAATACGGAGACCTAGCTTATTAGCTACCACTCCTACATAAGTCTCAACTCATCAATCTTGTATACAAAGATTTGTCGACGAGAACGACTGTGAGCGATCTCGGGAAAATAGCCCAAATCTTTAATCGATTGGTTCATTTTTTATTGATAACCATTCATTGTGTTTGTCAAAACGTGTGAAGGTGTGATGCAAGGTGTTCCACCATTTGAGTTTTAAGGCGTGAAACGTAATTTAGAGTATATATAAGAGGAGGAAGCAGTGTTGCATAGATGAAAATCGAACTAAACTAGTTGCATGGTCGGGCTCGGTGAATCATGAGCCAGCCATTGCCCCCGGTTTGGTCATACTCTAGGGATCAGAACTGATAGAAACTCGGTCATAACTGACTGACCGTCCTGTTTAACCAAAGAATCCAAACCACTCCCGGTTTCATAAAGTCTACTGCGTCATTAAATGCAAAATGACAATTGCAAGATTAAACTCATGACCTTTTGTTTATGTGTATTGCCTCATTACCATTGATCCATTTATTTATTTGTTTTCAGTTTTCACTTATGTATCTTTAAAGGATTAGCCCCTCTATTCAATACATTCTAATATGATATTAATTGTAAAGTATATTATGACCTGCAAAATATATACATGCTTGAATCTCTGATGGTCTGATCCTTGAACCTTTCCTTATCTTGGTTCTAATATGATATATGTTACATTTGATTTGATCACAATTGAATCTTTGATGGTCTGATCCTTGAACCTTTCCTTTTTGATTATATGCTTGGTCTGGTTCTTATATGTTCTTATTATGGTCATATGTAGTCGGATTCAAATATATACATATAGAACTATGATTAGTTTTTTTGAGGTTTGGAGGGGGGCATGTACCCACCCCCATCCAGGGTGGGGGACTTCCACTAAGGGACAATCTAGCAAATTTGTACAGTGGCATTTTAATAGTATCGTAATAAACAAAGTTGGAGGGTTTTTGTGGGCCGGGAACATGGTGAAATGGTTAACCCACTTTTATCTGTAGCATTTTATTATAAAAAGTGGCTTAAATATGCAGAAACATAAGGAGTGTACGCCTCTAATATAAAGTAGATAGGGGTGCAAGACGGACGGGTTGGGCCAAGTTTATGGTCAACCCAGGCCTGGTTTTAAAAGTTAGGCTTAGGGTTCGAGCTTGGACCGAGCCTGGGTCAAGCTCGATCTTTCCAATTCTAACCCAGCCTGCACTGTAATTTGATGTGTTTGGGTTGGGCTCGGGCTGGTCAATAAATCAACTCTAAAATTATACATATATGTGTATTTATGCAAATATTTATACATATATTTATGTATATATTTAAATATGTATGCAAAATGAGTATGTATATATAGGTAAATATGTATATGTATGTATGCAAAATTTACATATATATACATATGTATATATGAATGTGCATAGTTGGGCTGGGATTGGGCTACCTATGGGCTAAGTTTGGGACCAGGTCAGCCCACAAAATAAAATAGCCTGACTTCTTGAGCCTGAGGATCAAAAATCCAAACACAGCCTGTGTAAAATTTCAGGCTGGGCCTGCCCAAGTTGCACCCCTAGCAATAGAGATGTATGCCTCAAGGGTCTGTACAGTTCTAGACTATGCCTCTAGGTGTTTTCTTAGCACCTTGCTTGGAGGGATGCCTCCAGGTAGGACTCTAGATCTCCTACCCACAAAAACTTTGCCCACGTCTACCCACAACATACTACCCCTGTGCATTGAGAACATCTCCTCATGCATAATACTATGTAGGAGGATGAGATGTTCTCTATGTGTGCATATGATGTTATGTGGGCAGGAGATGTGGACTCTCCAGGTAGATGATTAATTATACCCACAAGGAAAATGATGAATGATTTTCAATTAATTCATGAATAGGGGTCTGGAATCGGAATTGGAATTGGCTATTCCCATTCCAACTATTTGGTTGGAGAATCAGAATCCCATTCCCTCATTTGAGGGAATGGCCATTCTCTGCCCCTTCCTTAGGAATGAAATCCCATTCCTGTTAATTCCAATTTTTATTCCCATTCCCGTATGAACCAAATAGACTATGACCATTTCAATTTTGATTCCGATTCTAACTGTGAACCAAATGGACCCTGAATGGATTAGAAAAAGATAAAAGCTGAATCAACTGGAATTGAACCCTAGAGAATAACTGAATATCCAATACCGTGATCATGTAGTTAATTAAAAGAGTATACTTCCTCTTTGTATAAAGAAAAAAAGGAACCACATAGGAATGGACAAGCCCGACATGGAACAGGTCTGATGTTAATAATTAGAGGAAACGAGATTTG